CACCCACAGGAGAGGAGATGTCATTTAATTCCCTCTTCAACCTGAAGGACCTGCAACTTATACTGTCCAGAAGAAAAATAAAATCTATTGGTGTTGGGCAATTTAAGGGTGAAATTCTCCCTCTTTTTTTGCATTTTACTTTTTTTTTCAGCTGTACTTTGGATAGACTGTTTCAAAGAGGGCATGAGATCTTAACTCAGAAGTGATGGCAAGGGCTTGATGCCTGCTACCACAGGAGGTGGTTGGAGGGAATACCCTGATTACTTGGCAGCAACATAAAAAAGCAGATTATGAACCACTTTCAGTGGTTTTGTGAAATCATTTCCTTGGCATTTATTATAGTATCTGAAAAATAATCAGAAATCTCAAAATATTTTTGATGCTTCATGAGACAAACTGTTCTGACATTTTGAAACTATTATCTTTTTCACTTGATCTAAAACTATTTTCCCGTGTCCAAATTTTTAAAGCTTCAAGTACCATTTTTTGCTTCAGTCACAAGAAAATTTCCCCAAACTTTCAAAAATTGTAAATAACAAGATTGACCTGCAAAGATTCAAAGCAGAGTTATATCTGTTATGTACCTAATCATTATTAATAACCTTCCAAAACAAAAATATTCCTCTCTAGACTGTTTCTTCCAGTCACCACTCACAATCTATAACTATTATCTACATTTGCATATAATTTTCATTTTCTTTCCTTTGCCTTTCCTTTCTAGTTGCAAGGCCCAAATGACTCTGATTGTGTCTGTCCACTGTGACTCTCTTGTAGGCTCACCGGCTTATAGTGATCACACTTGTAAGAAAATTATTATGCAAATAGAAAAGATAGAACATGAAATTTAAATACCATGGGAAGAAAGTTGCCATTTTTTATGGGAAGATGAATAATAATTTAGGTCCATTTTAAAGATTTTCATATGGTAAGTTTCACAGAATATTCTGAGTTGGAAGGGACTCATAGGATCATCAAGTCCAACTCTTAAGTGAAGACTACATATGTCAGAAAACAGATTTAGCTTTAGACTGTCTGTACTGAGATGTTGTGCCTTTATTTAACAGCTTGCACTGATGACCTACCTCCTTCCGAACTGCTAGAATGGGAAGTGTAAAGCAGGGCCACCATGGACCCACCAAAAGCAGAATGGAACCCACTAACAAGCAGACCTTGTACGTGCAGGCAATACCACAACTCAGCCCCAGTTCCCAGCTGGAGGAAGATATGAATCGGCTTCTCGAAGCTTATCAGCCCCATCTTCTGTGTGTAAGACATGACGCAACACTGTGTGTATCCTTCTCGCTTTAAATATGATGGGAAATGAGAAACTCTGTGAAACCAAGTCTTTTCTTTCAAAAAATCCCAGATGGAATATTTTCAACAAAAAAGAAAATTTTACCATGTGTTTGTTATGCACAGTTACCACAACATGAAAATCATAATAAAATGCAGTATACATAGCAATTTTACAATAGCAGCATTACTCCACAAGCAGTAAAAGCAACACAAACTTCCCAAGCTCCCAGGCTCCTCTAAATCTGTGCTCTTTTCATGCCCTGAACTACCAGCATCAGCCCTAACGCACATGTTGGTTCTGCTGACATGGCCACCAAATTAATGACAATATCCGAGGGTCCATCAGCCACACCTGCTGACCAGTCTGCCACTACAGCCACCTGCTGCTGGACATCGAGCAGTAGGACTCTTCTCCTCCTATACTGCAGAGAAAGGTTCTGGTAGCTGGGGGAGCTATAAGGGTGGCTTTTCTGAGAAACTGTTAGAAACTTCCCCCATGTCTTGACACAGCCAATGCCAACTGGCTCCTCCAAGATTGGATCCACCGTTGGCCAGGGCTGATGGCAGCAACGCCTCTCTGATAACATAGTTAAAAAGGATAACAAAGTTAAGTAGGAAAAAAAAGTTATTGTGCAGAAGTAATTGCAGACAGAGAAAACAGGAGTGAGAATATACGAGAGAATCAATGCTGCAGAGACCAAGGTCAGCAAAGTAGGAGATGCCCCAGGCACTGGAGCTAAGATTTCCTTGCAGCTCATGATGAAGACCATGGTGAGGCTGGCTGTTGCCCTGCAGCCAACAGAGGTCCATAGTGGAGCAGAGATCCACTCTGCTCTGCAGTCCCTGGACAACTCCCAGACTAGAGGAGGTGAATGTCCAAAAAAAAGTTGTGACCCCATGGGAACCCAGCGATGGAGCAGAGTCCTGGCAGGATGCAGGGAGAGCAGAGCCCATGCTAGAGAAGGTTTCCTGGTTGGAACTGTGACCCTGTGGGGGACCCACACTGGAGCAGTCTTTTCTTGTAGGACTGCAACCCACAGAAAGGGACCCATGCTGGAACAGGTCCTGAAGAACTACAGCCTGTGGGAAGAACTCATATTGAAGAAGTTCATGGAGGACTGTCTCCTGTGGGAGGGACTCCATGCTGGAGCAGGGGAGTAATTCCTCTCCCTGAGGAGAAAGCAGTGGCAGTAAAAACATGTGATGAACTGATTGTAACCCCCATTCCCTGTCTCCCTGCACTGCTGCAGAGGAGGAGGTAAAGAATTGGGAACAGCATGAAGCCTGGGAAGGAGGAAGGGTTGGGAGTAAGGTGTTTTAAAGATTTGTTCTACTTTTCATTATCCTGCACTGAAATTGACTGGTAATAAATTCAACTAATTTGCTGAAGTTCCATGATAGTAACCTGTGAGTGATCTCTCCCTGCACTTATCTGAACTCCTGAGCCTTTCATTATATTTTCTCTCCCCTGTCTAGTGGAGGAGGGGAATGATAAAGTGGTGGGTACTTGGCAGTTATCCACGTCAAACCACCACAGGAGTCCACACTGTCCTTTACCCCCATCTTTCCCAGAGACAGAGTGGTCAGTCATGGCAACCAAGATTTCAGCTGCACCTCAAGCAGGACTTTTGTCAAGGCCTTGACACCAAAACAATTTGTACCCCAAGAACTCTTTTAGTTGCACCTGTGTACCACATTTCTCTTCCCTCAGCAGCACTTCTCTCCCCCAAACACCAGAGAGCGGCTAGGTACATTTTCTACATTTCAACATAATTTTCAGTGAGCATTTCCCCCTCACACAATCCAGCATCCAGGAGGTTGTACCTGCTCCCATCTGAGGCAGCTGTTCGACCACTGCTTTCAATTCTCCTGGGTCCCTCACAGCTACCAGGGACTGCCGGGTGAGAGACCCCTCTCTCTGGGGAAGGCTCCGGTCTGTGGGACCCAGCTTTGCTCTCTTCCCCTGCCTCCCTCACCCCCGAGGGAGGATGATCTTTCAGCCAGGAAACATTTCACAAAGGCTATGGCATGCCTGCCCTGCCCTCTCCCATGTTCCATCAGTGAGCCTCCTCTGGTGGGACAGGGACAATGACAGGGTCAGTGACTGCCTGTTGGCTGCTGCCTTGCCCCAAAACCCCATTGGGACAGTGTTTGGGTTGGTCAGTGGATGAAGGCCAATGCAGGCATGGAAGCAGGACTGTAGATGATGGATATGCTTTTGAGCCTTGCAAGGTATTGCCCAAGAGCTGCCATAGGTGCTTCAGCCCTGGACTTACTGCTCTAGGGCACAATCCCTCAGGCAGTCTCAGATGGACAGACACTGCACCATTCAGATATGAGAGATTTTGCACTGAATAAGAGAATGTTTCATGGCATGACATGTAGAAAATAACTCTTAAAGTTGAGGCGATTTTTCCCTTTTCAGTACCATATTTTATTTGCTGAATTCTCTCCCAGAAAATCATAATTTCTATGTACAGAAAATACATGCATATGTAATTACATAATTTTCTATTATATTCTTGCCTAAATTGCTATTTGGTAATTAAATTTATGCAATCTTTATCATATCTGACACTGATATTTAAAAACTTCACACTGCAGTGGAAAGAAGTATGGCTTGCACCAGCCAAAGCAGTATTAGCTTTGTGTGCCACATCAATGTGTTTCCTCAAGGAATCTTGATCCTCTTCTGTTCTCCATCCTGCCCCCGTGTCCTTCAGCTCCTGCTCCTATCTACCTCACTATCCCACCATGACTGCTACAGTGTGGTGACGCTCACTCAATGAGCAGAAGATAGACTAAGATCCACTAAGGATTTGCTGAAAAGTCATGGCTGGGTAAAACTAATTGCATTCATTATATTCATAAATATTCCTATATTCATAGTGAGTCAGATGCTGACTCAGTAAAAATTCTGGCTGAATTAAGTCAGATTCTTGTCCTTTTTTTATATATGGTCCTTAATAATTTCTGAAGCTATATATATGCATATTTGAGCTAGTAAATCTATTCACAAGGAAACTTTGCTAACAGTAGCTAAATACAAAGAAATTAATCATATATTGTTGCAACAAAAAGTGTTGGAATAATTGCATTTCCAGACAGTTTGCCACATTTTAAAAAGTGGAATGTGAATTTCAGCTAGAAAGAGACAACTTTTCACAAAGAGGCATTCACTAGATTATCAGCATTGTTGGATTCTAGCACCTGAATCCTGATGCCAAACAAAGAAAAGAAACTCTTAAGCAAAACTCCATTCTCTGTTCAGAGAGAATATCAGGAGATGTCAGAAAACCTTTCTGATGGTATTTCGAGTATTGTCTTTTAATAATAAATTTCTTCTTTTTCTAATGTTCACTTTAGAAGATGTGTCACTGTTGGCTTTGAACAGCCTCAGCCTTGATATAAGCAAGTCCTGATGAGCAGGTGGAGTATAAAACTGGCCAAAGATTTACAAGACCAAACACTTAAGCCCAGCTCTGTCAGCAGCCTCGAGCCTCTTTCTTAATTTCTCTGCTTGGTTTCCTGCCCAGCTTTGCTCAAGATGGGTTAGTATTGTCACAACATGACTTGTTTGCAATAGAAGCAATATAAGTGGAGATCTACACTTAAATAGGATTTACATGTAGAAGTTATGAAGAGAAACAACATAAATGTAAGAATGAGCCTGGACATAACTTTATTCACTTACTTATTCCTTTGGGGACATTTCAGTGTTGCAGGACAGATGAGATGCAATTTTTCCCTTACAAAATGAGGAGACTTCCTCTGTAAACTTCACTTTCCCTAAAATTCTAAGAGAATATACTTCAGAAAAGCATTAAGAGAAGTGAGTAAGATTTCAGTTTTACACAGGACAGTGTTATTCTTTTATCTTAATTGGTTTCTTGAAAGGAGTTGTAGATCATGGAAGCTCTCTTAGAAGCACAGAGAAGCTCAAATGACTTGCAGTCACATGCACAGTGACACTGGTTTGGCTTGCTCAGTGAGAAGAATCCTTCAGTAATAACGTTGTTCAAAGTCTATTATATAGTAAAAGAAGATCCAGTGTCAGTCAGAATTTCACTAGTCTGTCTTGAATGGTAAGTATCAGAGCTTGTCTTTGAACTACGTTTATTGTATTTCTTGTATCTCTTGCACCATAGGTCCTTCATTAGCTTCACAAAATAACTTCTGAACTTCACTCCAATAAATGCGTAGAGCACAGGGTTCACACAACAGTGTAAAAATGCTATGGTTTCAGTGGTGTATTTGGCATAAGCCAATATCTTTTCATTTTCACAAGATTTGTCTATCTTTCCCATGTTTACAGCTGTCACAAGAAGAATAATATTATAAGGTACTTGGCAAACTAGGAAAACAGCTACAATTAATATGATCACACGGATTGCTTTGTTTCTTTTGGAATTCTGAGCTTGTTGCAAGGATTTGACAATGAAGGTATAGCAAAAAATCATGAATATGAAAGGTATAAAAAATCCAAATCCAACTTGTAACCACAAGAGCACTGATTTCAGCATCTTACTTTCAGACTTTTTGTCAAACCTGTTATCGCAAACCTCTTTGGTTTCATTGATGGAGAAGCTGTAACTTTCACTGTAAATAAAAGAGGAACTAGAGACTAAAATTGACAATACCCACACAGCCAAACAGATGAGTTTACTATATGCGACGTGTCCTTGCTCTGAGTTTAAATGACTTCGTAGCCTGTACAATAGCAATGTACCGGTCCACACTGATAAAGGCCAAAAGCAGCATGCCACAGCTGAAGTTGATTGCATAGATACCTCTAGTCATTTTGCAAATGAAATCACCGAAAATCCATTCATTAGCAGCGTAATTCACTGCCCACAGTGGAAGAGTGAGAACAAACAGTATGTCTGCTATGGCCATGTTGAAGAGGTACACGTCTGTCATGGACTTGGTTCTTTCATATAAAGCAAAGGTCATCACTACGAAGATGTTACCAACAAGGCCAACGACACAAATCAATGAATATGCAACTGGCAGAAATACTTTTGTGAACTTCCTGACTTCCGACTTAGAACAAGGTGGCATGATTAGAGAACCATAGTCTGAATAGTCTGGGTAATTGGGATATTCTGTGGTACCAAGGCCTGTCTGTAAAAAAGGAGATCAACAGTTAACATGCAGATATTAATCTTTAATTCTTATATAGTAGAAACACGATAGATGACCAACCACACACCACAATTACAAATGCATTTAATGCTGCAGAGTAGACTTGTAAGACCTGTCTAGGACATTTCATAAACTCGTACTTAAAATATGAACATGGAAGTAATCTTTTTGAATGTCCCAGAGGTCTCCATATTTAAATATATTATGCATAAAGGACTAGTCTGCTGTCACAAAAGTCACAGAAGACTCTACAGTGTAAAAGTCTGAAGTCGAAGTTGTAAAAGTCTGAAGTCGAAGTAGGGGTCTAGTCTTCCTTTACCATCAAGGAAGGGGAACAGACCTTTCTAGTATGTTATTCTCATCATACTAATGTAGTTTGACTAAATCAAGCCCAAAAATGAGTGCTTCTCTCTACTCAGGTAGAAAGGCAAGCCAGGATAACTAGCCTGAGACAGAGTTACCTGCACCACAAACACCAATCCTGTAGTTACATTAAAAGTGTGCAAACCCAAAAAAAAGTGGTCTTTGACAGTGAACTCTGCTGTCAGAAACTACTTCAGCTTAGAGGTTATTAACATATTAACATATAATTAACATATTAACATATATATTAACACCTGAAATTAGGGTGTTTGGATCTGCAGTCTCAAAGAACTGGGACTTCCAAATTCATTGCTTTATTGATGTACTAATACAGTTTATCAATTAAGTGCTTACAGAATTCATTTTGGCAGTACACTTCACAGAAAAATATGCTGAGAAGAACTTCAAAATACTTTCCCAAGGATTTCTGAAAAGAAAGTGAAATAGATTGGATTGGTAAACCAGCACAAGAAATGTGAGTAAGAAGAAAAACACAATTGAAAACAAAACATTTACTCTAAACACAAAATCTCATCATGTCAACTATATCAACAATTCACAGGAGCATCCCCGTTAATCACATATCTCTGCAGCAGAATGTACAGTTGTAGAAAATGGATGGTTTGTCTCAGTATCATTATGTTTATTCATAGGCTAATAAATGATATATGAGAATATGTGACTCTTACTTTCCATTGAATTTGCACCAAAAAAATTAGAGTAAATTAAATTTTACTTTCAGAAATTCTGTGTGACAATGGCAATCAGTGTATTGAGGGAAATATGGAACAAATAAACAGTATACTTCAGTATACCTTAGTATACTTCATAACAGTAATATGAGACTTTGACTTTTTTTTCCACTCTGGCATTTTATCAGTGCATCTCCACACTTTTAATATCACATTACTTGCTCTTTTTTATTACACTAGTGAGGTAAATGAAGAGTGCCAAAATAATATCTTCTGATAGTGTTGAAGATAATACGCCATGGATGAACAGTCTGAGCACTAGTGTTTTGTCTTTGGTGAACAGATTTAGAGTGCTGTGTTCAGTGTGCGGTGTTATAGGCTGCACTCTATGAAAATAATTTGTTTTCTCTATTATCACTGTCATACCTATTTTACAAATGTTAATTAAATTGCAGACCTTGTGGTGAGGAAGTATTACTACCTTTATTTACAAGGAAAGAACCTGAGCACTGAGTCATAGAATAAGTATCTACTTGAGATGTTCAGTTTGAGACACCTACCCCTCTCAACCTCACTTTTAAGAGCGCTTAGAATTACAAAGGACTTCAGTTACATTAAGAATTAAATCCATTGACTGATTGCATGCAAGCTCAGACTCCTGCAAATCAGATCAGAGTCTAAAGTCATAGAAAAATAAAACTGGGAACATGCCAATGGTGGCCACATGTGCGAAGCTGGGCTTAAATGACTTGTTTGACCTCATGCAGGAACCTGTCGGCAGGAGATTTAATTCCTCAGCATTCCCCTGCATGAGTTCAGTCCTTCTGTTTTTCCATCAGTTGTTCTGTGAGAACTGCACCTATCAGCAATTAAGTAATTTCAAGGACTGGATGACATGAGGTCCCATGCTAAGGCTTTAAATGGCAGTTTTGTCTAGGGTTTGCCTGGTTTTTGCTAGTTGTGCTACTAGGAAGAGCACATGGGTCAACTTTAAGTCTAAACAAGCAAAACCTTCCTGTTTGTGAATTACCTAATTTTGAAAGAGGGAGACAGACAATCTGTAAAAGTGGGACAGATGAAGTCCAGATATCACTGGGAAGTTGCAGGAGGGAAAGGACAGAAGAGTCTCCAAAAACATAATGGGAATGACTCATGTGGGGATGCTGGCTTACAACAGAGGGCTGCAGATGAGTAAAGACCCATACTATCCAATGTTGCTAAGGCATCACAACTTCTCTGAATTTCCTGTCCTTTAGACAAATCTTTAACCACCTCTCCAGCTTCCTCTGCTGGCTTTTTGAAACTGATTTTTAGAAGCTGCAGGAATATGACAATCTGAAAGTACTTGAACACCTGAAACAAGTTTTAAACAACTTAAGGTGTCTCTCAGACTTACAATGATGCAAAAGACAAGCAGGTAAGTCGTGCAGTTCACCTCGGGCTGTAGTCCTCTAGCCCATCTCTGTACAACTCTAGTTACCATCTGCTGCTTTACACTCTCTGATCTCATCCAGCCAGGCACTGACATTGCACTTAGCTGCAGCTGCAACAACTCTTCAGTTAGACAGCATTAAAGGGGTACCTGTCTAGGTTATTATTTTAGAAACTGTTATTTTATTGTTGCAAGCAAAACACTATTGTAGGTATCTGCCATTCATATCTTTTTAAGACCTACATGGTTAAAATATACGAAGAGAGCCTGACAACATATCTTCTCTGTAAAAGTCACTCTTCATTCCACTTAGACGAAGTCACTCCCAAACATTAGGGTAATGTATAGAAGGAAGATTACTGGTTGAAGGCATTGAGAATAAAGTCAGCACAGGTGTTTCCTGCAGCCTACAAGAAGGGTTAAGAAGGCATTTCAGATTAAAATAGAGAAAAGGCTGTTTAGTTCTCAGAAGAGCTCAGCAGAGAGCCTATAGAGAACAGCAACTATTCATCACAGGAGAGCTGCATAGTCTCTCTGACTCTGCAGGAATTCACAGAGGCACTGCCAGCCACACATTTTTTCAGAAAATTACATCCACTGTCCAGCAAAAGATTCCTGAGGATGGTTGGTATGAGAGTAGTAGCAAAGGACTCAAACTGAAATCAGAACTGCAGAGATCAGATTCAAACTTGATTTAAATCTATTGAGCTTGACTTCCTTTTTTGAATTTGAGATGGCATTTGCTGAAGTTATTAAGAAGATGCACAGGCTGCTGAGGAAGTTGAATCAGAATTCTTATAAACATAATTTTCTTTTTGACTTAAATCTTTCTAACATTCTTTCAATAGGCACCTTTATAATTTTTAGTCTTCACATTTATGTCTTTATTTAGCATTAACATCTTAGGTAAATATAAAAAATAGATTTCCATATATGTAAGGTGTTGTGTGTGTTCTAGCATCACTTATGCATTACATATGGGCAATGTCTATGCATGTGCCCTCAAAAACATTTATGTTCTGAATATTAAATAGAAAAGCCTTGCATTTTTTTAGCTTATTTTTTCCCCCCCTCATCCACATTATCACATTTCTTTTTACTATGAAAGCAGCATGTGAGTACTCAAAGGTATGACTAAATCACAATCTTAAAAATTATTTAAAATATTATTTGAAGTATACAAGCAAAATACAATTAATAAAGACAGACACAAGAAAAAAGACATTTTTCTGTGAGGAAAAAAATTCAGTCAATAAGTACTTTCAAGAACAGTCCACCTTTGTAAGTACAATCCTACTTACATGTTCACTTTGATACAGTCATCACACATAAGTGCATTATATATTACCTTTTTTTTTTAGTACTTACCAGAAAAATAATTTTCTGTATGCCAGGTGAAAGAGGATGTATGATTCTGTTACATTTTATTGTGGCTGCCTCAAGCACATTTACCATCAGCCTCAACACTTTAATTTGAAAAACAAGAAATAACAGCATTAGTTAAAGGTATAGAGTCAAGCTGAAATAATCACCACTTCCTTCTAATAAGTAGAAAGAATAACCTGCTTTTTTACGTAAAGGAAAATGTTTCTGTGCTGAAAACATGCAAGTTGGAGGCAAATATTTTAGTAATTTACTAATTAGGCTACCTCTATAATGATATTATTTTTAAAATGATCAAGCTAGAATTAGAATCATAAAAGGTAGGGTGTTAATTGCCACCGTGCTCAGAACACATCCTGAATGATGACCTGTTTTTGCAAAGGGTGGACTTAACGTTATGCAGATGAGTAATTTCAACATGAATCATTTAAATCAACAAGATCACTTAGAGTAAAACTGTGAAATTGAGAAAAGTAATAATTGATTCATAGCTGTTTTAGAGGAAAAAATAATAATTTGTTGTATATCAAGGTGCACATAATCCAACTTTTTGGCCTGAACTGCTAACACTAAATGTAAATGTCCAGGTAAAGTAAAATGTGATTGTATTTGCCTGTTTAGCACACACATTTGCTATTCACGTGCATGCTGCTCAGGTCTGCTGTCAAAATTAATTGTAACTAGACGTGAAAATATTTCATTTTATGTTTCCTGAATTTCAAAACCTATAAATAGTTCTTTTCCAGAACGTGGCTCCTGATGGCAACTTACATGTTTGCGTTAGCAGTAGGGAGGGGTAGGGGTGAAGAAAAGAGAAAAAAGAATATCAAAAAAACCCCTTCAAACTCCTTATTTATTTTAGAAATTTTGTTTGTGATCCCATTAGAGACACCAGCTGTCATAAATACAGACAACTTTGTAATATTGTTAGATCTGATTAAATTGATAGAATACTGGACATAAAGAAATGCAGGTTGATAAATGTTTTGCTCACTCATCTTCTTTTCAAAACTGAGCATTATCACAATAGCAGTGGGTCCCTAGAAGCTTAAGTATGGTGCTGTTTTCCACTGACCAAACCCAGTGAATGAACCTTAAGGACCCTTTAAGTGCTTCTTTCTCTTAACTTTGAGAGTGAAGAGATAGATCTATGTCTTGCAAAGCAAACTTCATTACACAAAGACAAACCTAACCCACGGCAGTCATGTAAGGAGCAATAGAAGTAGAAAATCTCTTTCTATTACAAAAACTCATGTCACTTCAAATCATCAAGTCCATGATGACTTTAATCCCTATTCAAACAAGCACTTCTACTGCTAGTAACAGCTTGCAACATCTCTCTCAGGCAACAACCTACTTTTGAAATACCATCAGATTAGTCTGCAAAGCAGTAGAATATTATCAACGATATTTCATGGAATGGGAGCCATCAAAATATAAATCAGAACTTTATTAGCTAATTAAAAGATAAATCAGAGTTTTAGCTTATATATTACAAAAACTATTGCTCATCTTATTCCATATTCAGGTGCTTTCTAATTTAAATGTATCTTGTGCTTTTACCCTGCAATATATTCAATATCCATCATGAATAACAGTCTTTCAGAAGATGAAGAATTCACCACTCGGTGAATGTCAAAATTAATAAAAGGTAACTAGTCAAACTTACCTTCTCAACACATTTTCCTTTAATCCAGTTATAAAGTCCAACCAGCCTTCTTTACAGATGCTTTGTGCTTCACCTTCACACTGTGGCAAGTGGAAAGTTTTTTCTCTTTAACACAACTATTTGATAATCTGCATGTTATGCAAATGAAGCCCTCACATGTAGATAGGTTTTGTTCATATGTTAAAGCTCAGAAAGGAAATCTACTCTCATTTAGTTAATATGGTTATTGCGGTTTCTCAAATCTCACCACATGTTAGTTTTCTGCCACCACTAATTAAGGAAAGAAAATATTTAAAGATAAGGAAAACAAAACCATTGTCTGAGTTATTCCAGAATCCACATGTTTCTTCTGGAATTACTCAGCATGTTGCCTTTTTTGAGTCTAAAAGAAAGGCAGCATGCACGCCCCATGTTGTTCCATCCTGCTTTCATGTTCCTTCGGTTAAATTTAGATTAGTCTAATCTGACTCAAAAATCTGGCCTCAGCTGAGGTTTTGATCTCTTCATCATTACTTTGGACTATAAAACGTAAACTGTGTATTTACATTCAAGTTGTTAATGTTACCTATTTAATTTTTTTAACATGACCATCCTACATTGTCAATATTTATTTTTTGCATTAATTCTATCAAATTTTCCTTCTTTCTGTTTGTATCTGGCTTTTCACTCCCTTTCAAACATGTCAAAATCCTGTTTGGTTTTGGTAGTTCCGTATTTAGTTTTTTGTTCTCCCTATTTCTTCCCCTTTCTTTGTTCAGCTTTTCTAGATTTGTCTTATTACCATCTCCTGTTGTCTTCATAATTTCTTTCCAACAATACGTTTTGTAGCACCACTCTCTTGCTTCCCCTTTGATCTTTTTTTGTTGCCATTTTCAACCTCCCTTCCACCCCTTTCTATTATCCTCTTGTGTGCAGCCCTCCTCATAATGCACATTTTGAGGTGTCAATGATTGATATCCATCCCACATTTACTAGCACCCATAAAAGTTGTAATTACTCAATCACCTCTGTCAAACATTTTAGAGAAGACAGAGCCCTCCTAAAGGTCTTCTACAGGTTTGGGTTTTTTTCCCCACAGGAGCAAATAGTGCTCAGGATGTTAAATGGGAAGTGGTTGTAAAGAGAGCACTTGGGAAGGAGAGGGCCTGCGTAATCAGTGCTTAGGTCTCGCCTCTAGCCCAAGATATGATTGCCTTTGTAAGATATCACAATCCATCAGTTTTCTTCCACCAATGCACTTGCTATTTAACTTGAAAATAAAAGGAAACCAAAACAAATTTATGGTAAACAGTTTGCTGGTCATCGTAAAGATTCAGAGGTGATTTCTTGTCAGACTAAACATGGAATTTTTGAAGAAGGAGCACAGTCATACTCAGAGCACTCCTCTGATTCACTGCAGAATCACTTCTTAGAAACAGCCTAGCTTGTAGCTGGTATGACTTCCAGCAAGAAGTATAAAGAGCAGTAAATGTATCCTTCCACTGATAATCATTGACTTCAGAATAGTTGGTTAAAAATATTTTATTGTCTTGGAGAAAATGTTGATAAACCAAAGTTTTAAACAAAAAATGGTCATATTTTTGATGGAAATTGTTATAGCAAAAATGACAGTTTATAAACCACACCAAAATGCACAGCTGAGTTATTATATGGTTGTTTATGCTTTTATTCTCTTTTGCAGTCTGAGCTTATCAATCAGACTAGATTTCCCAGCTTTGGACAGAAAAAGAATTATGTACAATATAACACCCACAGGGAACCCCCCAAAAGGGAAAAGGAAGGGAAAGGGAAAAGGGAAAAAGGGATAAAAAGCAAGTACTTCCCTTAAGAGAGCAGCAAACCACACCAAAGAACCGCCGGCACTCTCTGCCTCTCGAGGCCAAGTAGGCCCACGAGGCCTCACTGCTTCGCCCGGACAGAGCGACAGCAAAGAACCTTCGCCTTTGGTCTGCTGGAAGAAAGAGGAATGAGAGCTTCCTCTCTCTCTTCTTATTTATACTCTCACTTACGTAAAAATCGTATGGAATACTGGGAACATGGCCTTGGTTCCTTGGTTACAACCTGGTCACCAAGGAAGACCTAGACTCAAAACCACTACAAGATGCCAGGCTGTAATCTCTCTGCCCACAAGAAATTGTTTTATAGAGCAGAAAATGCATGCTTGTTCCTGAAATCCCAAAAAAGAATACATAACACAAGTCTTATTCCCTTATTTTGTACTACCTGAGAAATTCTTTGCATACAACTGTGCATCACCCAGATGATGCACAATCTTTTCTCAGAGGGAGAAGATTGCTCTCATTGTAAACGTCCTTTCTGTGGGGGAAAATGGTTTCATTCCTGTGCATTCCAGCCCAGTGCAGATCTATATTTCAGAAGTACCTAGTACAGTGTTCCTTGATCTCATCTAGGTCAATGAATCCATGAAACCACGTCCATGTTACTGCAATATTTACACAATTTGGCAAAATGAGACCAAGCTTAACACAGCGGCTACACTAAAAAGCTTAAAATCAGATTCTTGCTAAAGTGGATCTAAATTGTTTTTCAAATTAATTATATCAGAACAACGAAGGCAAAATATTGCAAAATATTACCAAATAACTTCTGCTTTCTGAAGTCAATGGTCTACTGCAAGAAAGTTATGCTGAATTGTCTGCCAGTGTATGACTCATTTACACTAGCCTGTAGAGGACAAGTGAATTTCCATTTCATAAATGCTGCAATCACAAGGCAAAGACACAAGTAGAGTTAAGTATGCAATTGCTGAAACAATTTCTATGGGTCTGATCTTGTAGTCAGACCATACCCATTGTGGTAGTATTTTTGTCTTGCTTACTCAGTCACTCACTGTTTCATGTCTCATTGAAATAATTAGCAAAGTAATTTCTCAAAGCCTGTCATCAGTCTCTACTCCCAAGCATTTACATTTTAACCAGAGAATGTAGAATTCATTGACCTGATTTCTTTTCAAAGCTGTACTTTCTTTAAATGACTATTTTTACAAGAGGTCCAAACCATGGAATGCCCCAATCCCATTTCTCTGGCAGTAAGCTTCATGGCCTAAGAGTTAAAAGACAGTTTAAAAGGTGCTTGTATAGCTTATGATACAATTGGTTGCTTAGTATGGAAATGTTAGGTCATCTGGGATCCTGGCTCCCACCTAAAACCACAAATGATGAAATGGAAGAATGAAATTTGAACTTTTGTCTGCATAGTATGAAGTTGCTACCTTGGCTGGATACATATCAGAGATGGCCAGCAATTGCCTTTCAGCACATGGACTGCGACTTTACCAATTGTAAAGATGAACTGAAGGTGTTGTCTGGCCACTTCAATGAGACAATGACTCCCTCATTTTACTTCTATACCATAGTGTAGGCTGTAACCACTAACCACACCAATGATCTGAGGCTACCCAGAGAAAAAATGCCACAGGAGATTGCCCTGCAAGGAGGAAAATCTGCTTTCAGGTCTTCTGCACAGCAGAAATTACTGTTCCTAAACAGTCACCACGGAGAAAGCACTTGTGCAGGCTGGTGAAGGAAGGAAGTTGTGTCCTAATCACAGATCCTCTCTCTGGTCGGGTGTTGGTCAGTGACATAATCAAGCACATGTTTAAATCATTATGTTTTTAATAAGCTTTAAACGTTTTGGGCACTTAATTCTTACTGCGTGGATTAGGAGGGAGGGGCAATGCACACTGGGGTGTTGTGCCAAGCAGATGACAGGCAGAGTGGTTGCTGACACAGGATCTTCTGCTGTGCACAGCTAACACATCTCTCTGAATTCGTGGTGCAGCAGATAGTTACCCTTTCACTTCCCTTCTAAAAGTGGGCAGCCGCTGTTATCGTTTGATCTCTAGGTCTTTATGCATGCAGTCACTTGCTGGTAGTTAGTGCTCTGATAAAACTGATTTTTCCACTGTGATTTTAGAGGTGGTAAAAAAAAAAAAAAAGTAGCACGAAGCACATTACTGATCATTTCCTCACAGGAGCCGCAAGTTGGCAACTGCTGTTGATTAATTCTGTGCTGCACAGAGAATGCAAGCATGTCCTTATATCTCACTTCTGAGAGATGATGGTTTTGTTTCCACAAATATAATCTAGCCTACATTAAGACAGGAACTTGCAAATGCTGTGGGGCAGATATGTCCGAGAACCAAGCAGCACAGCCAAATCTACTGACATAATGCTATAGGGAAAGAGCATGAATAGTGAAGAAGAGTAGATGGTTAGCCCAACCAGGTAAAACTCTCCTGCCAGGCAGCACCAGTAGTACAAAGGGACAGATCAGTTCAATCAGTTCCACAGATCAATTCTGGCATTGATTTGAACTTTACAGCTGTGCGGTGTGTTGACCCTGGCAGGTTAATAGGGTCACATGATAAAGCCACTTTATCATTCCCCTCCTTAACTGGACAGCAGAGAGAAAATACAAGGAAAGGCTCATGAGTTCATATACGGACAGGAAGATATTCACCAATTACTACTGTGGGCAAAACAGACTTGACTTGGAGAAGTTAACTTATTTATTACCAATCAAAATCAGAGCAGGGTAATTAAAGGAAAACAGATCTTACAAACACCTTCCCCCCATCCCTCTCTCCTTCCAGAGTTTAACTTTAGTCCCAGTTCTCTACCTCTTCCCCCTTAGCAGTACAGGGAAAAGGGATTATGGTCAGTTCATCACAGGTTGTTTCTGCTGCTGCTTCCTTCTTAGGGGGAGGACTCCTACCACTCCTCCTGCATGTGGTCTATCTATGAAGTTCTCCAGCATAAATCCTTCCCAAGGGGCTGCAATTCTTCATAAACTGCTTCAAAGTGGGTTCCTTCCATGCAGTGCAGTCCCTCAGGAACAGGTTGCTCCAGTGTGGGTCCCACTTAGGGTCACAAGTCCTGCCAGCAAACGTGCTACAGAGTGAGCTCCTCTCTCCACAGGGCCACAGGTCCTGCCAGGAGTGTGCTCAAGTGCAGGCTTCCCATAGCATCACAGTCTCCTCCCACTGCTCTGGTATGGGGTCCTCGAGGGGCTGCAGATGGATCTCTGCTCCCCTAGGGGCCTCCATGGGCTGCAGGGGCATATCCTGCCTCACCATGGTCTGCACAACAGGCTGCAGTGGAATCTCTGCTCTAGCACCTGGAGTACCTTCTCCCCCTCCTTCTTCCATGACCTGGGTATCTGCAGAGCTGTTTCTCTCATATGTTCTTATTCCTACCTTCTTTGTCTGCAGTGGCTCTTGTGAAGGTTTTTTTTTCCCCACTTCTTAGCTGTGTTTTCTCAGAGGCTTTACCACCATCACTGATAGGCTTGGCCTTGACCAGCAGCATGTCTGTCTTGGAGCCATCTGTCATTGGTTCTATTGGGTACAGGGGAAGCTGTAGCATCCCCACTGTCAAAACCTTGCCACACAAACCCAACACAACCTGGAAAAGCAGAAATTTGGTTACAGCTCTTAGCCTCGTCAAGTAAACTTCTCCATCTGCAGCAAGCCGAGACTTTTTAACAGATCTCTCAGTGTTTCATCCTTACCCAGTGCAAAGCTATGCCAGATAGTTCAGGTGGTAGACTCAGTACAGCCCCCAAATATCCATTTATCTTGCTGTAAGTTTGATTTTGATATCTGTGGCACCTAACTCAAATCTTAATGGTATTTTCCCTGTTCATTACAGGGGGATTGGACTAGATGACCTTTAAAAGCCCCTTTCAACCCAAACTGTTCCATGATTATATGATTGTGTTGTGCAGCACAAACGTGTTCTTTACTGATGGGGAAAGCATGTGTGTCTGTGAGGACTCACTGGAGAAAGCTGGTAACTGATAGCTACCCACGGTCCTTTCTCCCCAGGATGTTTTGGTTGCCTCCACTGCCAAGATTTGGGAAAGTGAGCTAGTATTAACCACTTCCTGCTTCACTGCATCTTCCTCCCACTTCATTGACCAGGCTTGGCAGACATCTAAATTTGCACTGGGCCATCACTCATCCCCAGTGGGCTCTTTCTGCTCTGAAGCTTTAGTGCCCAGTCCAGGAATCATCAGCTAGATGCTAGCAGGGACGCCCTCATCAGGATCTGCAGCTGCTCCCCATGGCTGCTCTCTGTGGCCCCACATAAAGCAGTCTTGGCTCTATCTGCTTCCTCCTACAGAGAGGGACAAGGAGGAACTGACCTTTACATGCCCCAGCACAGTCCTTCCCTTCAGAGGGGACCATCTTACAGATATGCTTCCTTCTCTCACCCTCAAAGTATTCTTTCTGTTCACAGCCAACTGACCTCACCAGTCTGTGTTTGGAGACAGGATCAGAACTCGGATGGTAATATTTGGGCCAGCAGTCTTGTTCTTTCATAACTTCACAAACACAATATTCCTTTTCCTATTTCCAAGCTCAGTTTCTCCCAAAATACCTCTGACCATTGCTACCTGAAATGCTGAGAGGAGACCTGGCCCAGCTAGTCATTTCTCTTTACCTACTGTCAGTCATAGCAGTAGGGATGCTGCTCCTCTGCACCTTTTGTCCATTCATCTCAAGCATATCTGCTCCCTGTTCAATCCAGAGTGGCAGGACTAAGTGTCCTGGCTTAAGGCACACATCACAAGAATCTCTGAGCAGACTACCTTAATATCAAATGTCAAAAAACCAGAATCCAAAATGATAAGTGGATTCTCAAAGCAATGCTGATTACATTGGGTTTGTGTAATCTGTTCCTTGACTTCTCAACCCC